ATAAAGTCGGAACTATATAAAAACAATTTGTCAGTGCTGCTGTTCTCAGATTATCCATGACTTTAGACATTATTCAACTATACTAAAGCAGAATTAAACCAGATTTTTTGTTAACTAGCCGATTAACCATGCACGCAGTTTTAATGACAGAGCAATTTGTTTGCAAGTGCCGCTGATTTTAGTCCAAATAAACAAACAATGTAAAACATATTATGTTAACAGCAGTACCTTGGCATTATCCATTCCTCGCACATAATCTCACTATATGACACCAATTGCATGGGTGTTGCCAATTATAAGGTCACCGTATGAACTCACTTGATGGAACAATGAAATCATTCATGCTGTGCACGAAAGCGATCGTAAAAAAATGCGCTATACAGTTGTTATTGCGAAAGATGGCCGAAGCTTCTATAACACTGAGTTTTTGAACATTGCTGAAATTGTTGAGTATAAAAGTCACCATAAAAACGCGACGTGGCCAAAAAAATCACGGACGATCATTAGTGGTTTGCGCAGTGCAGTTAATTATATTAATCAAGTTAGGGACCTGCACGTACACCACAGATGTGTTAATCATGTGCAGCATTTATTGGAAATTTTGACCAATAACAGTTATTGATGCTTGCAATTAAGTTTGCGATATTTGAAACTTTCTGAATACATTCCTTTCATTATTCCATCAGAACAAGAACATGTCGCCATTTTAAGCTTGGCAAGTGCTAGACATTCCCAAAGTCCTTTCCAGTTATTTTTCCGCGGTTCGTATGTACGCTGGAAAGGACTTTTCTCGCTTGCAGCGCGCCAAATCTACCGGTGGATTTTTTGACCGGGGTGTGATTGGGGGTGTGTCATTATTCTAGCCAATGAAAAGCGCATATTTAAATTATTTGAATTAACTATTCAACTGTCGTTACAGTAATTAGGATTTCCACTTATCTACTATAAATAACTAAATATAAAAATAAAGTAATTTCAAAGTAGAGAATATGGTTCTTCTTGAAGATACAACAAGACGCCTGCTCAGGCGTTCACACTGGCCTGAAAATGGCAAATTTTGTGGTAGGGTGTAGTAGAAAAGTACTATGAGATAGAGATACAGAAAGTCTGGACCATATAAATACAACCAATAAATACAATCAAGATCAGCAACTATCAACCATAATATACCAAGACGCCGGCTCAAGCCCACTGTAACTATGATCATCAACTATCAACCGTAAATAATGATTCGGGGCCAATAATAGCGACGAAATTATATAGTCCTTGATTTTTAATGCCATTATATGGCTCGTTTCTGGTGCTAAATGTTCATAGACATATAGACGACTCTTCTAAAAAATACGCCAATTTGCTTCCATTTATAAGAAAAACTGATCCCAACACCAAGCCCTTATCTAAACCCAACCATTAAACATCTAATAAACAATTTGAGAATTGAAAAAGTGGGGGAAAAGTTGGATCTTGTTCCAAAAATAAATCGAACCGTACCACGTTTCACTTCGCCGCACACAACGCCACCTCGCTGAATACGTATACAATCGAACAAATACATTTTTATAGTAATTACAAGTAATATGTGATGAAATGGAAAGTAATTTTATGCAAATTATAATGTAATTAGGTGCAAATCTATAATTTAATATGCAAATGAACACAAGTGCACAACGCACATGTTTATGACGTATATTTATACTTGTTAATTAAAAAGTCAAACTGTCAAACCTTTAACTTGTCCTTGTTTCTATTCCACTATATTGTATAAATTCGCTGGGTCCAAATTTTGGGGTTTTCGAGTCGTTACACAAAGAAAAACACATTAATTCAACACGCAAGAGAGTCCAGAGTGCGACACAACGTATTTTCCATGGGAAACCGGTACAATTCTTTGAAAATTCAACGAACTGACTGTGTGAAAATCGCTCAGTGAAAAGTCGCCATTTTGAACTTGAACTGAATATGTCACTGGAGCCATAGAGATTATAAATAACACTAGAGGAGGCATCGCAATCTTGACATCAGGCAAAAAAAAGGAATGCGGCTATTGGGTGGGCAAATCCAAGTCCCGGATGTGCACTCGTATTCCTATTGGTGAGGAGTTTCAATTTAGCCAATGAGAGCATGATTTTATATCTGGGACCTAAATTTGCCCCCCATTAGCCGCGTTCCCAAATTTTAACCTCGATACCTCCTCTATAAGTGTTACTTATAATCTCTATGACTGGAGCACTTTATCCTTGGAGTTCGGAATTGTGCGCGTGCGTACCACTGTACAAGTGTATGGGCTAATTAACGAAAAATGTACCACAAGCATGGCATGAGCCGGCTATTACGTACATAAATACGAGCTTGTTACTATAGTATTTAAATTATGGAACCGAGGAATCGATGGCTTAATCGTTGCACCCTGAGCCTGCGATGAACTAACGAAAAAAACAGAAAACTATGAGGGATTTAAGACACTTGGCCTATATTGGCAGCAAACTATATTGGCAACAGAGGCGTTAATTTTCTAAACTAAAGAAAGTAAAGCGGCATTTTACAAGAACGGCAAAC